TATTTGTGCTCTCTCCCTCTGTATTTATCAGTGTTGAAAATATTGTCAGACTAAGATGATTCGAGACTGAGGACCACACCAAACACCCATCGGGCTCATTGTTTATTCATGTGCTAAGCACAACTCTTTATCCGCAAATATTAAGCCAACAGCGTGTCAAATCAATTTACACTTAGCGTCAAGCTGTTGGCAAGTGTTTAGCCTCCTGCTCCTGCTCTTTATGATTGACGGCGCATTTACTGCGGATGAATTGTAATGACACTTGGCATTCGCTTGAATTTCGCATAAATATTCAAGAATGTTACGTTGAGAATGTGCATGAGATCAATCAATAAGCAATTACGCCCTTCGTTTTTTTCCGCCTGCAAATAAATAAATAAACATAAGCATATTTGGCTGCGTGGGCGGAAGGGACAGCCGTAACGTGAAATAGGAAATTGTACGTCTTACATATTGCCGAGCGAATACGGAATTCGGTCTACGCATGAAACACGCATTTGCATGCGTGCGGGTGGGCGGCTGCTTATGTGGGTGGGCCACCGGGTGGCTTTGCTGCTGCGGAATGTTGTGTTTAGTGAAAATTGCTTCAACAATTTTCTTGTAGTCATTCAAAGTGAAACATATGTTGGGTGTCACAGTTAAAATATGTATATACGATATGCCAGCACACAAATAGAGGCAACAGCCGCGCGCTGGATTGGGTGGGAGTTGAGTGGAACTGGGCTGGGCTGGTTCGAAATTCAATAGGAGGCAAACAACTCGAACGAGTCAGTCGACTCGACGCCTACTTCGGCTCTGCCGCGCACCCCTCCCACCCGTCGTCTGTCTGTCTCGTTTGCTCTCTTTGTTTTTATGCAGCACTCTTGCTTTCTGGTTTGGGACTGGCTCAATTTATTTTTATGGCATCATGTTTGGTCGCTACGTGTGGCAAAGCGGGACGCTTCTTTCTCCTTTTTTCGCCTTTGGCTTCTGTTTCAGCTGCGTAAATTGAAACTGGAGCGCTGCTCGGCGTCCCATTACGTATACGCACCGTGCTCGTGCGCGTACTCCAACACGCTCCCATTAATGTCTCTAGGAGCAGCCGCACTGCCCGAGACAGTCGCATTTTCGCATCATTCCTACATCAAAGGCTCAACATTATATACATTATATCAAAGCGCTGAGCAGAGCTGTTGACGTCATCACACAGAAGGCGAAGCAGACAAACAACAAATATGAATATCTCGTGTTCCACTCTGAAGATACAATTACTTAAACAGTCGCACACGAGTGGATCCAGGCACAGTATCAGTGGGGTCCTCTCAGATATTCTTGGCATCTCTCGGGCAGCATTTCACATGCTCATGAATCGTCTTTCATTACGCCAGCGAAATCACGGCGAATTAAATACGGAAATCAATGCAAAGGTCACGTCGCACGATTGAAAATCAAAAACGGAGTTGAGGGCAAACTCTGTTAGCCAAATTATTATGAGCGATATTTGCATTTTGGCTCTGATTATGCGCCAGGTGGAGCAATAAACAGCGAACATTTCAATGTTGTTGATTTTGCTTTGTTATTGCAGAAGCTTGGGTGAATCAGAGCGAATTCTTTCGGCTTGCCCTCTGGGGACAAGTCCCGAGTGCCTGCGTATAAATCAAGTAAAATAATTATGCGAATCTGCAGGACATTCCATTATCTGTGTTTTGGGCTCTTCCGCAGTGCTTTTTATCGCGCCGCTCGCCTTTATTGCCGGCTGCCAAACGCTGACCCACCGATCCACCCACCCGCCGTCGAGTTTAGCACTCAGACCGATACCCGCAACCGCACCCACCGCCGCTGGGGCTGGGCCCTGGCCAGCAAATGCTGCCACCGCCGTCGGCACAGCTCATAAATAAGTTCCAACGTCGCCAAAACAAAACATTTTTCATCTGCCTCTCGGCCGAACAGGCCTGCCTGTCGGTCGGTCGGTTGGTCGGTGGGTCGCTCGGTCGGTCCTCATCCGTCGTCGTCTGTCGGCATGTGCTCTGGGAATATTTCATAAATTTCGACGCTAGCCCCGAATCTGAACCTCTGAACCTCTCGCACTGCCCCTGCCGCTGCCCCTACTCCTGCCGCTGCCTACCCATATAGACCGATATACAGAGACCATTGCTCCAGCATTTTTTGCTAGTTATTTTTGGGGCCATTTTCACACTTGGACGGGAGTCCGGAGCCGGACGGACCCAGGCCCATATCCTCTCCCAAGACTCGTTGACGCTTGGTCGACTGCACTTTGTCATCTGGTGGGCACTTTTCCTATTTTTCAACAATTACACGCCCCAGCCACTAATGCCACACACTTGTTGTTGTTGTGTTGTTATTGTTGTTGTTCTGTTCACTTTTGCTGTTATTGTTATTTTGGCATTGTTTCACACAGCTTTCCGTTCATGTCTTGTGCTTGGCGCTTTTGATTGGTCGCCAGCGCCAAACCCTCTGAATAATTTAACGTCAACTTTCGTCCCTCTCGATTTTTCCAGGCCAAAAGAGCAGCGTGGACCCCTCAACAAAATTGTTAGTTTAGGGCGTGCGACTAAATGAACAGTGGCAACAAGTGCTGCGAAATAGAGCTGAATTTTAAATAATAATGTTCATAATGAATGTTAAATGGGATAGGAATAAGAATAAATAGAGACGATAGGCCAGGCTTAGGAATTTCTTTAAGCTATGATTATAAAATAATAATGATAATAGTGAATACAAATAATAATAAAAATATAATAATAATAATAATAATAATAATAATAATAATAATAATAATAATAAT